CACCATCAGTTCTGAGGAAGGGTCACCGGACCCGAAATGTTAGCTCTGTTTTGTCCTTGAGAGATGCTGCCAGACCCGCTGAGCTTTTCCAGCAACTTTGTTTTTGTTTTTGATCAAACTATACCCACTATATCCACCGGACAAACAAAAGAACATTTAAAATTCAGTCCAAATTGTTTGGTCATTGAGCTACCAACTTCTGATGTTGCTCCTCTTCACTTCTGTGCTGGACAACTTTCTGATTGCTTGACTCAAGCTCCTTTTTGAGTTGTGAAAGTGCTTCCTGAAGAAGTATTTTCTCTTTTTGCAGCTCGGAGGCCTCACTCTGGGACTTTAAAAGATCGTCTTCAAGTGCTTTCAGCTGGTTCTGGTAATTACACTCCTTTAGAAAATAGATTTGTATTTGTAACAATTTGCTGTTTCCTTAGATATCACAGTTGCTTATTAACACTAATCACAACTTCTATAGGCATCATTATGAGAGAGGTAGCATATAGGTTATGTTACTGGACTAGTAATCTAGTGCTCAAGACTAATCCACTTGAGAAGATATTAACTCAAGTCCCAGCACAGGAGCTGGGGCTTTTAAATTTTAAGTAAAAGCATCCAGATTTGTAAAATAGTATCTATAATAATGATATTGGAAACTAATTAGATTACTGTCAAAAAACAAGCTCCTATGATGCTGCTTGGCCTGCTGTGTTCATCCAGCTCTACACCTTATCTCTTTGCTTAGAAAATCTGCCAGTTTTACTGGCCTTGACTCCAGTCCTACAATGTTACCTTCCTCCCGGAAATGAAATAGCAATCCACTCAATTGTGTAAAACCACTATAAAAAGCCTAATAAAAATGAAAGCAGATGAACCATCCACACTGACAAATACACAGGTAGCTCAGTCAAACCTACAAACCTCTCACTGACATCTGTAGATTTATTATCATAGAATCCCTACAGTGTGGAAACAGGCCCTTCAGCCAAACAAGTCCATACCGAGCCTCAAAGCATTCCACCCAGACCCATCCCTCTATTACCCAGCAAATCTACACATCCCTGAACACTATGGGCAATATTGCATGGCCAATCCACCTAGCCTGCACATCTTTGGACTGTGGGAGGAAACCAGAGCACCTGGTGGAAACCCACGCAGATAAGGAAAGAACGTGCAAACTCTACACAGACAGTCGCCTGAGGGTGGAATCGAACGCAGGTCACTGGTGCGGTGAGGCAGCAGTGCTAACCACTGAGCCACCGTGCCTCCTAAATTGAATTCAAATTCCACCATCTGCTGTGGTGGGTTTCGAACCCGGGTCCCCAGAACATTAGCTGGGTTTCTGGATTAATAGTCTGGCGATAATACCTCTAGACCATTGCCTACCCTAAATGAATTAATAGACAAGCAATTCATACTCAGGGAGTCATGTGCGATAGTTAGTGTCCCAGAGATTTCTGTCATTGTACCAGGGAATGTCCTGATTCACTGGCAGCATTTTGCAATCCAGCAGGGAATTCATGATATGCTTGAAACAAAAACAGAAATTGCTGGGAGAAACTCAGCAGGTCTTGTAGCCTCCAT